TAAATGTGAGGTCTGTCAACTCATTCTGTTCCCGCTGTTGCTGGAGACAATGGTTACCGGTCTGAGGACAAATACAATGGAGGTTACATGTCTTTGTAGACCACTGCTTCCATCACCAACTTGCACTTGTGTTGCTTTTAGGATATCTGACTTTTCCCTTTAACTTGGAGGTCTTTGTAGAAATAGTTGATCCGTCTCCAAGGACTCATGGAGTAAGACAGACGTTGCTTAACGTTTTTTTCTAAAGCTGTTTCCATTGGCCTGTGTTTACCTGACACTTGGATTGACAGCAGAGTGATTGGAAATATCCACCATTCACTGCCGTGAGCTCCTGAGTGCACAGAAAGTGCTTTTGTAGTCTGGCTGTAATGGGCCAAGTTTGAATTGAAGGTTGGGAAAAATAGCCTCACTGCGGTCGCGCACTGTGAGGAACTGACACACCACAAATAATACTCAAAAGTGGGGTCCTGATAGCATCACAGCCACAGAGTGCGTACAATAGCATGCAGGCTCTCATTTCAATGCACTTTCACAATGTTGTAATGTGCACAGTCAGATGGAGAGGAAGAAATCCAGTCAAATACAAACTCAGGTTGTGTCTCCACTCTGTTCTTTTCTGATGATATTGACACAAACGCTCCAAAATTTCTTATCTACAGATATATAAAATTCTTTATTTTTAGGGTTGATTAGCAAAATCAGAATCAAGGATATCACACCATGGGAGAGTTTTGATTAAGAATTGCCCTCACCTCTGTAAACTCTGTCACTATCTTGATAGCAGAAGTTACATGTACCAGATTAGGAATTTTTTCATCAGTGTCATTGTCTCGAAAATTCCATTCGGATAATTACCTCTTGATTATTCACATTTAGTGTCTGCATTTCTTTTTACATAGCATGTGAACAAAACACATTCATGTAAGAGTTAGATTTGTAGAGTTTATGTGGGACAATATAAAATCAAAATGTCACATGAATTGTGTGTGTAAGTGTTTTTGGTTCTATTAAGTGGCTCTTTGTTTTGACCATTCACTTTTGCTATGCATTTCATTATCTTTCTACAAGGAAACACTTTTTAAATATTTGGAGGGTTTAAAAAGGTTTAATATTCTGCATACTGTAATATAAAATTGTATATAAAACTGTATATAAAGTTATATAAACTTCTTTGTTTATTTTGAGAAACATTAGGTTTGGTGTAGCAGAGAGGGGTGGGTTTGACATCACAATGGATCGTTGTTTTTGTAGCTGGGAAAAATTGTGTAAAACTGATCAAATTCACAGTGGGTGTCAGCAGGTAACACAATAAAGTGTCAAAACGGGGACAGGGACTCAGAGCCAACAGTTCATCATCTGGGGTGCAGAGATACTCCCTCTCAGGGACATCCAGGATTTCAACATCTATTGTTAAGACGTACTGCATTCCTTTTCCTTCACTGTCACCTTTCTTAGTCTCCTTTTCTGCACAAAGTCTTGAAGTTGTGTGGAGAGATGTAGAGTTGTTGTTGCAGTCCTGACACTATGAAGCATGTCCCCACTGTGTCCTTCACAGACAGGGATGATACACTGCCCATGATGGTTGAGGGGAAAAATTATTGAACATTTCTCCTTTCTTGAAATTTTGTTCTCTGCTCTGCATTTTTGACATTTTCTCTTCAACTCTGAATTTAGGGACTATTTTAGGCATATGTTGACTTGGAAAACGCTGAGGTTATACGTTATACAAGTGGTTAAAATTAGTCAGAATTACCAGCAGAAATTATCCCAAAAGTACAATGGGCTAAGTCTACTAAACAACTTCTTTACTATTATTGTGAACTATTGTGAAGATGTTTAAAAAAAAAAAATCATTTATTTCACTGCAGTTTTTTTAAATAGCCAGAAAAAAATTCAAATTCATAGATTTCCTCTTTTTTACATAAAAAAGTGGACACGAAATTATACCTTAAATGTGACTTTCCATTGTCTTTAATGTTGCAAGTTTCAAGTTACTGTTCAGATACTGTTAAAATACTATCCTCACTGCCACTTACACTGTGAGACTGAACATGCATAATAAACAGGAAAAGAAGCGAAAAGGAAATGATTGACATGTCAACTAGCAAATCACAATACAGTAAATATAAGCTTAACCAATCACCTTTACGCTAAATGGTGGGATTTCCTGTGCTCGACGCAAAACTCCCAGTCAACAGCAGAGGCCCCACCCTTTGTGTTACCTATTGCCCGTCAATCAAAATATAAAAAAATCTGACAGTTATCACTTATTTCTGCGCGTATACAATCAATTTAATCTGCTCATCATGTCCCGTGGATTGTGACTATCTGGACCTTCCGTTTTATGACAAGTCAAGCAATGACTGGTACGTAAGCTAACGAGCTATCTCGGGCATCCTCTAGCTAAATTAGCTCTTGCAGGCTAGCAAGGATGCTTGTTATATTGCTAATCAACGCCAGCTAAGCTAGCAACTGTAGCTAACGCTCTGCCAATTAGCTTAGCTACCTAGATTAGCTTGTTATGGACAAATCACCCGCCTGCACTTCTTCAAAAAATTATTGCTACACGACAGGATTTTAATTATGCAACTGCTATTAGTTTAAGTTTTTCGTGTTTGTGGCTTTACTGTTTACTAGTTTGCCGACGCTTCAAGGCACTGAATGAATTCCAGGTATCTGTAGCTAACATTAGCATCTGCTAGTCACTCACTTTTCCAATCTCCTGCTTATTTTTAACTCCACAGCCCCAGAACAGCCACTCAAATCAGATGATATGGCTGCCTTAGATGCAGACGGCAGTCAGGGTGATTTTATGCAGCAAGAGGAGGGCAGAGGTAATCAGGTAAGATTTTCCCCATGCTTTATGATTTTACGTCGCTGCTGCGATCTTGTTACCTGAGTGTTGCTTTCTGAGGATCACACATTTCAAACTTGGAGGAGGAGGGGGTAATCTTAACCTCATTTGAACCTCTCAGGCAACACTTCCTCTCAGAAACCTCACAAATCCCACCTCCTTCCTTTCCAATTGATGTGCGAAAATCAAACCAGGTGTAAACTTTATTACAATGTTATTCAGTGTGCTGCCTGAGGGGCTCAATACTGGACAAGAATGTCCATTAAACTATTTAGTAATGAGTCACAATTCTTACGTGGCTCTGACTAATGGCCCCCCACTTTCTTCCTTTTAAACTCGCTCAATATGGGTAGGACACTCAGCCGTCACCCCTCGACCTGCTAGCAACGACCTGCACTAAGGTTGGGTCACCATCGTCAGTGAACAGAGGTGCTGCCAAAGATGTGGTAAGTCAGCACCTCTGCTACATCTGATACAGTTTTAGCAGAAGTGAAGACATCTGTGACAACTGGTGGTGGGACTGTATGAAATCTTTCATTTTTGTGGTGGAACAAAGCCTCTGCCTTTTGGTTGTCAAACAGGAGGAAATCCCAAAGTGAGAAATGTTATATTTTTTACCTGTATTAGAAAAGCAGAATAAGTATTCTTTTACAAACTCCAAACTGAAATTAAATGCTGAGGTTCCTACATGTGACAAGCTAACAACAAATGTGGTTGTCACTGAGAAACCGGAATAGCCAGCACATTACCCCTGGACAACAAGAGCAACAGCTCTTTGAACAGCTCAAAAGTGAAAATGGGTTAGTTTTTTACACTTTCTGTGTTGATGTCATTTGTATTTATTTAAAAGGTTGTTTATCTGTACTTTAGTTGTTTATTGTTTCATCAGCTGCTGACTTTTTTTTTTGTTTACAGCCAGAGCTTTTGTTGTCAGACTTAATTTAAGTTTGATCGAATTTATTTTGTGAAAAGAGCGGGGATCTGTTGATGAAAATGAATGTCTTGTTGGTTGTTTCGATGTTTCATTCTGGAAACTTTGGATCATCAGCATTTCACTACATGCTTCAACTGTGAACAAAACATTAATTGTTCCCTGTGTGAGCAACACTGCAATGTTTGGCTTTTTATGATTTTATGTGTCAAAGATGTCTTAATTGATTTCTTTTAATTTGACACTCATTTGCTGCTCTATTAAAACTTTGTTGTCATATAATATTGCTTTTGGTTAGATTAATAGTGAAATAATTCTTATGTTACAGTCTGTTGCTTTTCTGTTTATGTTGATACATGTGATCCGGTCCGTTACTAAGGTTAATTTACTTAGCTATTAGTAAGGCTCATGGCTGAATTTAACCTTCCAACCAAGATAAATAGAAAAGCTGATTTTGCCACTAGAAAAGATCGATAAAAGAATCAAAAGCATTTAAGTTAAAGGTGTCGTTTGGGCTGGGACGGGTTGGTATTGTGATTCTTTGTGCCAGTGATGATGTAACGTGACAGTTCATTGACACATCTAGCGTTTAAGTTACCTGTTAGATTTCAGGTGTGCTATTAGGTTATGATTCCTCATAAAGTCTTTATGCTGTTATACTACACAACCAAAAGAACAAAAGCAAATACCCTATTCAAAATAAATAAGATTTTTGCTTCCTGTTTGAGCCAAAAATCTAATCTTCCTTGATACCCACTGATCTAAAAAAAGTTGGCACTTTTTTTTCTTCTTGTGTTTGTGTTGAAGATCTTTATCTTGAGACTTATACTTATTTTTACTTTTCTTCCTTAGATGTCAGATCCATCGTCACAGCTGACGGATAATGACAAATGGGAAGTGTTAACACCCACAACAGGAGTAAAGGATGAGTCTGGAATAATACAAATCCAAAGTCAAGGAATATTGACATCAAATGGACAGTATATTCTTCCTCTTCAAAATTTACAGACTCAGCCAATCTTTGTCACATCGGGAATGGACCACTCCTCTGCCAATTCAGTGCCTAACATTCAGTACCAAGTAATTCCTCAGATACAGACAGCGGATGGACAGCTGAGTTTCTCCACATCTGCTGTGGAAGGACCAACTCTGACTCAAGATGCCACGGGCCAGATTCAGGTCTTGTCTGATGGGAGCCAGAGTCTCAGTGTGACATCAGCTGCAAGCATCCTTAACAACAACCAGAACCTCATTTCACAGACTGCTAATCTCCAGCAGATACAAGGGGTTTCTGTTGGTAGCTCCACTTTTAACAACCAGGGCCAGGTTGTTACTAATGTGCCTATGGGGCTGCCTGGGAACATTACCTTTGTTCCTATCAACAGTTTGGACTTGGACTCCCTTGGCCTGTCGGGTGCTCAGACTATAGCGACAGGGGTCACTGCTGATGGCCAGCTGATTATGGCGAGTCAGCCGGTGGATGGCTCAGGGAGTCTGGCCAAGACAGACAGCCACCTCTCACAGACACTAGCGGAAAACGACTCGAATGCAAATCCTGAGATATTTGTGCCAACGTCTTCCTCTCAGCTGCACCTTTCGGCAAATGAAGGTGGTCTGCTGACACAAGGCTCTTCGCTACCACCGGCGGCTGCAGAGCAAGCCAACTCGAGTGCTGGTCTCCAAGAGGGCTTCGGCCAGCAGAATCAGGAGCAGAATGTCCAGGTGTCCGCGGCCCAGCCCATCATCCAGCTGCAGCAGGTTCCTGTTCAGACCACCAACGGGCAGGTGGTGCAGTCTGTGGCGGCAGGCGGGCAGAATCTGCAAAACGTGCAACTGATAAATCCAGGAACCTTCATCATTCAGGCTCAGACTGTAACACCGTCGGGTCAGATACAGTGGCAGACCTTCCAGGTCCAGGGAGTGCAGAATCTACAGAACCTCCAGCTGCCCACCACGCCGCCCCAGCAGATAACTCTGGCACCGGTGCAGACCCTGTCACTGGGGAGCATCAGCGCCGGCCAGATTCCCAACCTACAGACAGTGACCGTCAACTCTGTGGCCCAACACGAAGGAGGATCGGATGCTCACACAGGTACAGCAACTTTTCTTTTTTTTTATCATCCAAGTGTCAAAGAGAAAAATGATGCTATCAACCAGTTATGAACCCAGTTCATTTGTTTCCTATCTGACCTCCTGTCAGGACTGCGTGGGGTCAACAGACTGCTGTGCTCAAGTCTTTCAGTTTCCTGTGACTTTAAGGGGCACCTATTTAAAGTCTCTGCCACTGTTAGTACACAGATGTTGTTGGTCTCAGGTGGTCCAGTGCTTTTGATAGAATGTTCTCCATAACCACATTTATGGCGGCAAATCAAACAAGGTCATTGAATGTTGAAAACAATCTTTGGTCACATTGGTGTCTACAATTCTGTATTACATAGTTATTTTAATTTTTGATCATTTAAACCTTTCAACGGTCATGTCACCGCAATGAGACGCTTTCATGAATATGAGAATAAACTGGGTCCTAATAATCTTCATGCTAACCTGCTGTCACCTTGTTTTGGTTTTAAGTGAACCTTTTTTTTTTTTTTTTTAAAGAACTGAACAATCCCTGTTAATGAAAGTTATGTTTTTCATACCGAGAACAGTCAAAGTGTCTGGTGGCTAGGTAAGCCTGTACTTACAGAGAGAAGTCTACAGAAACGCTAACATGTTTTACTTGTGCTGCAGTAATAAAACAAAATCTAACTGCATTTTTGAGGTTGTTCAATTAACTTTAATGAAGTTTTTACTATTAATATAACATGCTTAAATGTTTCAACAAAATATTTTGGAACCTTAAGATCTTTTTGTTTGAAATGTTAGTGTAATTATTGTTGGCAGAACGCTCGTGTTAGTCAAAGTTTTAGTTCCATTTCAGCAAAACCGCCCCATAAAGTAAACCCAGCTATTTGTACGGCTGGTTGCAGCCTTCCCACCTGCTACAGGCCGTTTGAACAGCTAATAATTAGAATAATGAGCTTTGTTATTTATGGTAATAACCAGGTCACGATTCTTTTTGATGTTCACCTGGAACTGTGGGAACACTGTGCTAAAATTCCCCCCTACGTGTAGCCAGAGAGCAGGTGTCTTCTGCTGTCCTCGGCCTCCGCTGCCGGTCCTGGAGCTTGAGTTGATGATGCCCTAACGTTCACTTTTCAGACATTCAGATCAAGGAGGAGCCAGACTCTGGGGACTGGCTGAGTGCAGATTCTACGCTGAACACAAGCGATCTGTCCCACCTCCGTGGCAGGCTGGCGGACGACGAGGACCAGCTTGGCCAGGAGGGCAAGAGGCTGCGCAGGGTGGCCTGCACATGCCCCAACTGCAAGGAGTCGGGCGGGAGGTCAGTAAGCCTGAACGGTTCCCTCGCTGGCTCTTTAATCCTGGTGAGAAAACAAAGACCAGGGTTTTGAACGGCGCGCCTTTTCTTTTCCAGAGGATCCAGCATGGGCAAGAAGAAGCAGCACATCTGTCACATAGTGGGCTGTGGGAAAGTGTATGGAAAGACGTCACACCTGCGAGCACACCTGCGCTGGCATTCAGGGGAGCGACCCTTTGTTTGCAGCTGGATGTTCTGTGGGAAGAGGTTCACACGCAGCGATGAGCTCCAGAGGCACAGGAGAACACACACAGGTGCCCGGCTTTTTTTGCCCTCTCCCTCTTTTGTGCTCGCGCTTCAGGGGAACAGCCATAAAATCAGTAAAACGTGTTAAATTGCGTCCTGTGAAGTCAGCCGTGTGGGAAATTATCCCATTTGTTTCCTTGCCTTTTCTCCAACTTAGAGTGACAGATTGGACAGCACAGTGCGCTCTGTATCTGCCGTTTGCCGAATTTTGGAGGAGCTGTAAAGACCAGATAATGCAAAATGAGTATTCTGAGTTACGTTTAAGTTAAACAAGACTAGATACTCTATTGTGGCACTATTTATCAAACCAAAAATAATTAAAGCTCCCATGTGCTACAAATGTAATGTGATTGATGAAGTGATCATCAGCAACTGCAAAAGCTCTGTCATGCTGGGTCTTTCTACTAACCTCTCTTTTTACTGACTGATATTATAATAATAATTATAAAATGATAGTAATAAAAAAAAAGGCAACACTGTAGCACCACTGCTTCTTTCCAGCCAAGAGATATATCAGCAAAGTCTGAATTTAGAGCCCACCCTCCTGTCCATCACTTCCCCACAGGGCACGTTGGCAACTGAAGGGGGAGCAGTGCACGCCCGCAAAGCCTTAGTGTGAAGTTAAAAAGGCTTTCCTTTAGTTTTTAACTGGACTCTAGATGCATCACAACAGCATAACACAGCATCCGATGAGCCATGATGGCAGGATGGACCCTTCAGGGGATTTTAACTGCTTGCTCATGCTGGTGTTGTTTCCCCCACCATATCATTGGCAGAGTGAGGCCTCTGACAGCATTGGCTGTGGTAGCGTTTCATTACCCTGTCAGCTGCTCAGTTGGCATTCTCAGTTAACTTTTCAAGAGGATATTTAATCTTTTAAGGCTTCCAATTGGTAATAATTGTGATCAGTTGTTTAGTTTGTCAGTTTTGTAAGTGACAGATTGACTTCAAACACCTAATTCAAATCAGACGTCGAGCGAGAGTTGTGCAGCAATTTGAGTGCGTGATAAAACTAGGGTCTGGATTATTTACTCATTGATTAGTAAAACTAGACTATGGTAATCTCCTTTTGGAATAACGGTTTAAATAAAGCACATTTGGCCCTCCTTTTTTTCTTTTTTCTTTTAACGTTCCCTCTCTACGTTGCTCTCTTGCAGGAGAGAAGAAGTTCGTGTGCCCGGAATGTTCCAAGCGCTTCATGCGGAGCGACCACCTGGCCAAGCACATTAAAACTCATCAAAATAAGAAAGGCGTGAACAGCGGCAGCAGCGCCGTGGTGGCCTCCATGGAATCCACAGGTTCCTCTGACAGCATCATCACCACGCCGGGCGGCACCACCCTCATCCTCACCAACATCCAGCAGGGCTCCAACACGGCCCAGGACATCCTGGCCAACGCAGAGATCCCGCTGCAGCTGGTCACCACGGTGGGGGCCAGCGAAGTCATGGAGTGACACGCCCCCCACCTCTGAACCTCTGCAGTGTCTTCTCCTGTGTACTGCTACCTGCATTTTTACTCAATTTGTGAAGGAAGATTCTCTCTCTAAATACACACTTATATATGAAATTAGCCGTTTTCATGTAGGAAAAGGAACCAAGTGAAAACTCAACGGTGAAAAAAGACATTCAACTGAAGCTACGACGAAATGCCTTATTTTGTACAGTATTGTGTCGTTGGAAATGTAGGAGTCCACTTTTGTTTTAAATCTATTTGTTGATTATGTGTTTTTCATAAAAGGGGTTATGACTAAGTTTAGCTAATCTTCTCTCACCTTTTTGTCGACAGCATATTTTGAATATATTCCACATTCTTTTAGTCAGAGACTGAACGTCAGAGCTCTTTTCTTTTTCAATGAAGTAAAGTCCATACAAAAGTTTCACTTTGTGTATTTCAGAGGTGTTATGTTGCATTGGTTCCTGAAGTTATGTCTGCTCGCAAACCCTTCTTTTCCCTTTTTTTTTTTAAATGACACCTATTACTATTTGCAGGTAAAAAAGAAAAACAATCAAAATTTTGTATCGTTCCTCCTTTCAACATACGTTGTTGAGGTGACACGTTCTTTGCTAATTATGTATTTTGAACAGCTATTTATATTGAGCTTTACATAGACGATGGATTTGTGATATTGACGGTCTAAAATATTTCCAATGACTCTTCTATGTAATTCAGATGTGTTTTTGTACGCTTTTTTGGAGGACTTCGGAACAGACACATGTTGTAATATAAAGTGCGGACAAAAGTTCATGTTTTTATTTTTGGTGGTAATTGCCAAATTTGACTCCAAACTCAGGGTGACTTGACAGCGTGCTATAAGTAGAGTAAATCAACCCTGTTGCTTCCCAGGCTGTGGTTGTCTGTTGTGAAGAATTCTTTTTTTTCTCTTTTTATGGAATGGATGATAAAACTGTTTAAGCTACCATTATGTTACCTATGCCCAATGAATCCTGTCATGTAAGTGTGTTTTTGTCTTTTTTTTTTTTTTAAATGATAAAACTTGTTTTATGCAATGAGTTTCCTTCCCTGAATATCTTTTTCCGTCAATTCTGTCGCATAGTTAAAAAAGTTGCGATAACTGAAAGTGGTACTCTTTTAACAGCACTGTTCTCATCACTTTAATTTTTTTGTTTATCAGTTTGGATAAAAATGTTTTTTAAAAACCCGTCTCTTGTACCCATTGTCTGTAAATGTTCTTTTTTTTCTGTTTTTATTCAACCGTGTTACATTCCCGATTTTTACCATGTTATGATTTTCTTGTTTTCTGATTACTTCAGCCCTCGAATGGTCAAATTGAACACACCTGCACACAGATCAAATTCAATAGCGACAGATTTTGGTTATGTTTTTATTTATTTTTGTTGTGTTTAATTTTCTTTTTGTTTTGTTTAGTTTGTTTGATTAAGACATTGGAAACTATGTCATTTGAAAGATTCTCACCAAGCCACTTGCCTCCACTTCAGAGGATACAAATAGGCTAAAAGGATGCGGCATCTTTGGATACTTTGCTAAACCCTGAAGGTTTATGTTCTCCAGTTATCTGTATAAATATGTCAGTATGTAACATCAATATAAATCTTTCTTACACTTAAATGCTCTTTCCGTTTGCTTTATTTTCAAAGTTTTTCACGTTTATCATAGCCTTGGTCGCACGAATTTCCTTGGTGTTTCAAACAAAAGTAGCTCAACATTAGAAGCTTTTTTTTTTCTTTTTTGCTTTGTCTCCTTGGGAAGAAGTCAGCTGGCCAAAGAGGCTCATTCCCCCTGTGCAGGTTACACACAGGGTTTGCAGTCCAGTAGATGTCACTACATCCAAGGGAGCAGGACAAGAGCTATGTTTGACCCCTTGACCTTTCATCTATGGAGCAGCTGTGATGAAGACAGGGGTCACTCAGGCCAACAGCAGGAGCAGACCCTCTATTAACTACAAGTTAATGTCACAGAAATGTCAGGAATGTATAAAAGTACTGCCTCATGACTTTGAACGAACCCCACTGAGGAATGAATGCCAACCACTTCTGATATTCTGACCTGGATTCTCATCTATACACAGATATTTGGCAGAATTATTGACGAAAATGCAGAATCTTCAGTATTATTCACCGAAAGTCTTTAAAAAAATATATATTTTATATATATTACATATATATTATTATATTAATATAGGGTATATTAGTCCGTTCACAGAAGCCCACATGATGCATCGTTATATACGTATCACATTCATTTTAGACCCTTTGATATCACACTGACGAAGGTTGGGTGAGAGGGTTAAAAGCATATTATATTCCAGCTTGTTTTCTACCTAATGCCTCTGTACATAATTAAAAGTTATTTTGTGAGAGGCTTATTTTATAAATCTGATTTATTAGCACATGCTTCTTAAATTTTGGCCAATTTGCAGAGAACACCTCAGAAATGTGGCCAATATTTAAAAAAAAGAATTTCTTTTTTTATTTCATTCGTTTCATTTGCATAATTTAATGAATCCAATTCATTGTAATGCAATACCAAGTGCACCAGGAACATGGAATGACAGTTTGAGTTAATGAAATGTGTTAACGGTATCATCATTTACTTGTATGTTAATTAGTCCAATTAATTTTTCCTTCTCGGTAATCTGGATATTGTAATAATCTTTGCTCCCCTGCAGGAATGAAATGTATGATACACAGACCTCAGGGATGCTTGATGCTGGGAATTGTGTTTTTTTATTTTATTTCCAGTCATGAGATGTTACAGATGTGTGAACCTGGGAGCCTTAAGGTGATTCTTTTTATGTTTTGGATTTATTCTGCTGGGAAAAATATACTCTCAACTTCATTACCATTTACCAAAAGCTGTGTACGAGCCGCCTTGAGAATGTATGATATAAGTCAGCCATTGCCTGCTATCAGAACCAGGATAACTGTCTCCCTTGACAAAGTGCCACTGCCTTGTAACAGGAACAGACACGGTTCTTTTGGCGGTTGCAGATCAAAGCTAGCATCAGTTGGCAGTTCTTCCTGGCAGCTCAGCAGGTCAAAGTTTGCTGAGCATGACGATGTCCAGGCTGTCACTTCAGCTGGCCATCTGGACTGTAGGCTAACTTTGCAGACAAACTGTTTAAGCTTTTCTCTTTGGGTTCTGATCTGTTTGTGAGTGCAGATCATAGTGGCAGCAAGCTATGGGCCACTGTGAGAGGAGCTTTAATGCTTTTCAGTAACTATTGAAAGGGAGGCTTCACTTTAAACACAGAGGCTGTCTTTGAAGCTTTGGGTCGGTGAGGCACCCGTCTTTTTCAAACACACTCAGTAAGTTCTTGTAACTGCTGTACAGTGAGTGCAATGGGGAGCAAATTTTGTAAAACTGACTGAAAAAATCTGGATGCAACTTGGGTCTAGTTTTGAAGAGTGGAAGGAAGGCTTTTCAATGGAACGGCTTTTGCAGATTCTTTTTTTTTTTACGAATGGGTATAATTTCGAGCTGCAAGCAGTTATCTGTATTTTTATTGTAGCAGATAGCTTTGGTTCTTCTTACTCAGTTTTGCTATTGCATAATTGTAATTGTAATAATTGTACATGGTGCTCAATTTCACCAATTCATGTGCAAAATGTATAAATAAAATAACTATGTAGAGAGAAAGGAACACTGTAATCATACAATAACACATTCGACTGTGTGTGGCAGAATTCAAAATGCTATTGGGATTATGGTTCTCAACCATTGGGAGGTAATGTGAACTGTTGGCAGAATGACTTATTTCATTATGCTGTCCCAAATATATGAAATACTTCAGCAAGAGGGCTGCTTCTTCCCAAGCCGTGCCCAATTTGAACAGTTTTCTCCAGTTGTTGAAGGATAGGCCTGCAATTTTGCAAAATAACTATTATTTGCCTTTCTCAAGGAATCAACAACTTGAAAGTACAGTGCAATGAATTGTTGGGGTTCTGCAGCTGCATTCATTTGCAATGTGTCTTTTCTGCAGCAGAACTTAAAGCAGAAAGCGGTTATTTGTTTTCTTTTGGATATGAAGTGCGAGTCTCCTCAGTAAGTGGAAAGCACTTACCACCCTGCCTAATGTTTTATGTTTACAGCAGGGTAGGGATTTTTGCTTTCCGCTTTAAACATCAGGACGTTTCAGACAAACATTTAAAAGCGTGTCGTGTGTCCGCAGCCCTGACACATTCTTGCCCTTGATCAACTTCACAAGTCAGACAATAACCCAGATCATTTTCCCCCAGCCAAGAAAACACAGCATGGATCAACTCAATAACCTGATATTCCCTTTTCTACTGAATGTGGCCAATTTAGCAGAAGGTCAACGCCTCTTTTTTTCTTCTTTTTTTTTTTTTTTTTTTTTACGCCAGAGACCATTTGGTGACCTCCCTCCGGAGCCCCAGCAGGACCAGAGGAGACAAACAGAATCATGGAGCCTGAAAGCGCTCGTGTTGACATTGCATTCGGCTGCGTACTGCTGAAGGTGAACAGCTACCCTGTGTGAGACATGGGGGCTATTATGTAAACTCAGTGGCCACAGCTAGCAGTCACAAATTTGTGGAGTCAATTTGTCACGTGTTTTGGTCATTGATAACAGTTTTATCAGTTTTGATAACAGTCCACGTTCAAAATTCGAAGATGCATATTGGGCAGAAAAGTGCGGCTTGTCTTCGGGTCGTCTGCCATCTTTCCACATTCAGAGGTGCCCTTTCCAGCTTTAGATTAAACACTGTGAACCGTGGGGAAATTATGGTCCGTCTACATCCTATTTTAGGGGGGAGTAATTTAGATCAGATCCATCTTTGCTTCTCTTTCCCACCATTTTGCATTTATACCATGTATGTTTTTTTCAGGTCCAGCTGTGAAAATTGAATCAACAACAATGAGACGCCGCTATCCAAATTTCCCACATTATGCTGCCATATTCATGCACAGTATGTCTCTTGTTTGAGTGAGGGGACAATTGCATAAGATTACACTATAGATCTATGAGAAGATTAGGAGGGATCGTTTTTCCTCGTTCCTCACAGCAGTCGCACTTTTCACTCCGTGTGAAATAACTTTTTCTCAGGGTCACAGCGCTTAAACTTTTGTGGACTCGAGTGGAGAGGAAAAACTGCGAGAGCGCTCGGTATTTTTCTCTCTGCGACAAAAGCTGGCCCCTCGGCCCCGTTCAAAACGATTTGAGATATGAAAGGAAGGGTTTTGTATCGGGAAATGTACATTAAATGGTGTCAACAACATCAAAGGGGTCAGCTGGGAGTCCCCATGGAGACCGGGTCCGGCCGCTGCGCTCACAGAGCCGCCAGCCCTCTGAGTGGCGGCTCTGTGATGGCTCTCAGTTTCTCTCGTCATGTCCCTGGCAGCTTTGACACAGGTAATATGCATGCAGGCTGACAGTGGCTGGGATGCGCGGCAAGAGACAATGATGTACATATCATTTTCCTCCCTGACTGATTGAAGACTGTAATCTGTGCCGGACTTTCTCTCTGATTACACACGTCTCAGGGAGCAAAACAAGGACTCGGAGCTGCCACTGGGCACTGTGCTCATCCAGGGCTTTCAGCCTTCAAGAGGACTGAAGTCCGCCTTTAAGGTGAGCTCAATTTTCGTCCCATTTACACTATTGTTACAAGTGTCGGATAGAATGCATCTCGTAGATAGTGGTCAAACATCAGCTGTCTGAGGACGACAGAAACAGACGTATCTGGCACCCAAGGTCAGCGCGTTCCTGTCTCCAGCGCAGTGGCGGGTCATTTAGAGCTCCTGCAAAGCCACTCACAGACACAAGCCGTATGCATTTCACACTCCCTGCTCGGCTTACAAAATGCAAAATGGCTCCTTCAGCTCGGCAGACCAACACAAAAGTGGTCCAGAAAGACAAGCTGTGAAATGCAGAAGGACAATTTGTAAGAGGCAGATTTCTTGTTGTGTTTATGACAAGATTCTCCGGCTTTAAGAAGAGACTCATTCATTGTTCTTTTTTTTTATTTTTAAAAACAGCATTCCATTGCTTTAAAAATGAATGAAACCAGCATAGCAGAGGGTTTTTTTTGGCTTCCTAAATACTAAATATGTGCAATCAGCACCCTCACACTCTTAATCTGCCTGACATAACCTTTCGAGGCACTCGTGTGTCGTTCTGTGAAACCTGAAAAATTTCCCTGTTGACAATAGGTCAATCCTTTACAGAAGGTACCTTGCACATTACAAGGTTGGTCTCCAGGGAGAAGTAATGGGTTCTGGGCAATTGACCAACTTGCCATGCTTTACTGCACCTGCACTGAGTTAGAGCTGTCATCATTACCACTTCCTCCAATGTTCCCCCGCAGCAACCCAGACACTCCTACTTCCAGCGATATTTCACTTTGGTGGAACATTTTCATTTTACGTGCATTTCTCCGCACATGAGTGGAGGGAGCTTTAACATCCAAAGAATTAAGGTAACATCTAAAAGGCACTTGGGCTCCTGAATAGCTTCCAGAATAGTTACCAACCATGATCAGCTTGAACTTTTGTGACTGAAAACCAAAGACTTCAGAGAGAAATTCCCCAGGAAAAGAGGTTGTAAAGAGATGTCTGTCCATATACGTATCTGTGTCAA